TTGAATAGAGAAGTGGATTACATGTGGGACACTGCATTGCTTCTATCAGATTTGGATTGTTTTTGTCACCACATGCATCTATCATTTATGAATCATTTTACAATATTATTGGACCATCGGTTTCAATTGGCCGTACAATGCATCCTATGGAAAAAATATTGGGACTAAAAGAGTGAGTCCACTGAATTTAAATGTATATTCTCTTTGCGTGTTTCGGATTTTCCATTGGGTTTTATTTGGATTCTATTTTAGAAAAATATGTATCCATCGGGGTTTTAGGGGATTTGGTTTTTAACCATAAAAATGACTATTATTTTTTTTAAAAAAAAATTATCATTTTATCTATTCGTTTGTTATAATCATTTGATTTTTATATCAGATTTGGTTTGATTACACTTATTATTCTTTCCATATTAGTTTGATTTAAGAATAACCGACGGAAGACGATCATTGGAGGCGTGACAAATCATTGCTTTATGACATCTTAGCTCTCAGGTGCATGGTCTTCAACGTGATCGATTGGGTTGATAAATGGAAAAACATATCATCGTAATTGAACCGAATTCGATAGAAAAACCGAAAGCTAATTATTTTTATAAAATAAAAAATAAAAGAACTTTTAAAAAAAAAATGAATATGGGCCACATCTCAAGATTTAACTGCTATGTTTTTAGAAAGAAATGATGGGTTCATTCTAGGGGTGGGCGTTTCGGGTTTCGATTCGATATTCAAGCGGTTCGGTTCGGGAACGGTATTTTCGGTTTTATAAAAAGTGTACCAAACTAGAACCGAATGTTAAACGGTTCGATTCGGTTCGGTTTTAATATCGGTTCGGTTCGGAACAATACCATTATATGAATACCAAATAAGTACCGAACTATAATATTTACACATATATTAGTAGAATATTCGAATTTTGGTTCGGTATTCATACGGTTCGATTCGGTATTCATACGGTTCGGTTTGGGAACGGTTCATTCGGTTCCATAAAAAGTGTACCAAATTAGAACCAAACATTATTCGGTTCGGTTTGGTATGGTTTGGTTTCGGGACGGATCGGATCGGTACTAAATTCCCGAACCGAAGTGTCCACCCCTAGTTCATTCTCACATGTGGTTAAGTGGGTCTCATCAACAGCTACTTTCTTCTTCTTCTTCTTTTGTGTCCATTTGGACCGTCAAGCGCTTGATCATGAAGGAGGTGAACGAGGGATCCTCTTGCCGAGTTCCTGTTTAACAACAAAGAAAAACAAAACCCCGAGTTTTTTCTTCACCTTCCAAGGGTCATGGATTCAAACCATAACTTTGGATATTTGTTTGTGGGTTTGTGAGTACTCACTCTTGACCCGGGAAAACAAAACCATACCGCGGTTCTTTTCCACATTTCAACTCTATAACCAAATAACCAACACTCGGCATAAACTGGACAAAGCGCCATGATTTAGAATGACCGGGATTGTTACTGTTTTCATCGCACGGTCTAAAGAATCAAGCTCACTTGTAATGGCTCTATACGAAGATTACCACCTTTCCAAGTCTAACCAACAGGTAATACAAGATTCATGAACTAGTAAGTAAATCAATACTCTATTCTCCACAATGATGAAAAGGGGATCACACGAGTTCATGAAATGCAGTTTGACAAGAGAGAACTGAACGATGAATAAAGAGGCAAATAAAAAAAAATGTACCTCAAAAAGTTGATTTATGTTATCTGCTGTCTTTGCCGAAGTCTCGATAAAGAACATCCCGTTCTTCTCCGCAAACTCAACTCCATCCTTCAAGAAACAAACACCATTGTTTATACACAAGCTCCAGTGACATGCCATGTGATGTAAGTCTTAGTTGCAGGGTCGCAATCTAACCTCGACGGGTACTTCTCGCTTTTCGTGAAGATCGGCCTTGTTACCAACTAAAGCCATTACTATGTCAGGGCTTCCATGCTTTTGCAGTTCCTGTCAAATAATATTGTTTGTTTATTTAGACCGCGAGGAAAGAGTTCAAACCCAGGAGGGATGACAAAACAATTTCCACTTCTAATTCTACTCTTCTAGGGTCACCGTGCTGAAACTGCAAAACAACATTCAGTGAATAGAAACATATAGGTTCAAGGAAATCAAATAGTTTTCTACCACTAGAACACTCATTGTTATAGACATCAATGAGGCTAATACTTAATCATTACATTGAAAATACGCCTTAATAAGTCAGTTGAAAATGTCCGGATGATATCCTTATCAATAATTAAAGATGAGAGATATCGTACCCCCGGACTTGGATATGTAGATCACCGAAACACAAGGAAATGGAACTATTGAAACTGCAAATACATACCTTAACCCAGTACTGAGCTTTCTTGAATGAATCTGGACTTGTTATATCATATACGATAACAGCAACTCCAGCTCCACGATAGTATAGCGGTGCAAGTGCAGAATACCTAAAGGGAGCGAGATTGAATGTTAAGTTAAGACCCATGCGGCATGGCCTCCAATAAACTAACCAATATCAAGTAGCATGAATTGCGTTAATACCGCTCTTGACCTGCTGTATCCCATATTTCAAACTTAACTGTGGTTGAATCTTGCAAAGCTATTGTTTGGGACAAGAATGAAGCTCCAACAGTTACCTGGTAGAGAATTTGTTTAACCGAGATTAAATGGCCGATGAGAATACTCTCATAGCCGTTCACATTCAACAACTCAAAAAATGATTTCTTAAGGAAAGGCAAGATAGTGCATATAACTGACTAATGAGGTTTTCATTACTCACCTTTGATGTGGTATCAAACTGACCACGGACAAAGCGGAGGACAATGCAGCTTTTACCAACACCGGAATCTCCTAATAGGACTAACTGCATTCAACCGAACTGCAAAGTTAACAACTTTTCGGCACAGTGTTTCACATACATGATCGAAAAACAACTGAACTGCAAAGTCCTCATCCGGTTCTTTAGCGTTTGAAATCTAAAAGAAACAGAAAATCCCATATGTACCATTGATCAAACTATAAGTAGCAAACCCTCAGACTTTCAATCCATTGCTGCTAACCATATGCCAGGAATCAGATAACCGAAGATATCATGAAAAAGCTGGACTTGGATACAAATACTCAACCATTCTCAAAAGAGGGCATTTAGGCCTTCGATTATGACACTGTTAACTCCAAAAGTCCTTCAAGATTTACAAGGGTTTCCAAATTTTACTATATGGAATCTTACAGATATGATAACTACCGTAAATACTTTATTTTATGGGAAAGCCAAAACCAAAAGGGTTAGACAAAGAAAGGTACACAATCACCAATCACATATCATAAGTAAAAAAATAAAAACAAAATCACATATCATAAAAGCACAAACTTTCTAAGCCATGATAAACAGCATTTGCTTAACCTTTGAACGAACACATTTTCACCACAACAAATCCATGTATCAGTTAGATCGGCATCATTACAAAAATAAGAACCCTGAATGAGCTCAGCATTCTTGCTTCAGACCAACAAAAAATAAGGCCCCAAAATGACAAAATCTCACCTTTACCCGTAGATTCTTGGTATCTGCCGGAGGCGCATTTTCGGAACTGTTAAGAGCACTTAAACCTCCAGAATTCCTATCTGCGACATAAGAACACAGTCCCAAAGCATCACTGTGTCTCCATTCCTTCACACAGAAACCCTAACTTGGAACAAATCATCAGAAACCCTCGATTTCCCGATCCTTCTAAATCCAATCCAAATCCGCACGCCTTGAAAAAAATCCTGGATAAAACTCTGATACAATACAACTCCCGAAAGATACTGATTTCGACGGATTTACAGTAACATTGAACCCAGAAAGGAGATAAAATTTACCGGGAAGAGAGGCAGAGCATCCCATGGATCAGCTTTTTTCTAGTATACAATACAGAGACTGAGTATGCCACGATCCTGTCTGGATTTCTGGACTCGATGGAAGCCAATTGAAGAAGAAGAAGAAGAAGCGAAGGGAATATTACAAAAATACATTTAAATGTGGATTTCACTCATGACATACCCAACACTTTCAAACAAAAACTGTAAAAAAATGAAAAGACATCGTTACTTCTTTTAAAAAATACACGTGTCAACATCTGAAGGAAAAAGACCAAATATTGGGAAGTTACTAAATTAAAAAAATTTGAAAAACCAAACAGTTTTTTTTACCCCTTTTCGATAGACACTTTCATTTCTTCATAGTGTCGTTTCTTCTTCTTCATTTTCTCTTTACTGTAATTTTTCTGTGCGATTTTTCTGTGCGAGTTCGTCAAACTCGTCAAATTTTCACGAAGAATGGCTTCGTCTTCATCATCTTCGGCCCCCTCTTCGGACCGTACTTGCGAAGACCTCCAGATATAGTTTTTTAACTCCGCAAAAATCAAATATTTTAGGGTTTCGGGTATACATTGAGATTCGGTTTTAGATTTTCTATTAAGTTTTCGTTAAGAATAGGGTTTGAAATAAAAATTTGAAAAACTATGGTTTGAATGACAAATTGTCACTGAAATATCGAAATAGGGTTTTCGGATTGGGTGAGAAACAGTGTTTTGTGAAAAAGACGGATAGAAATCGAGTCACGATGATATTGTCGACAGTCGGATGCACTAAAACATAGATTAATGGTCATGCTAGATGTTAGTTAAACTTAGCGCACCCGTCAAACAAGTCAAACTATTCGAGTCTCAAAAATGTTCAAACTCGTCAAACAAGTCGGAGTTTGACGAGTTTGACGAGTTTGACGAGTTTGACGAGTTTGACGAGTTTGACGAGTTTGACGAGTTTGACGAGTTTGACGAGTTTGACGAGTTTGACGAGTTTGACGAGTTTGACGAGTTTGACGAGTTTGACGAGTTTGACGAGTTTGACGAGTTTGACG